ACAAGAATTGGTTCACAAAATCTCCATTCAGTCAGGATTTGACGCAGGCGATGCTGGTGATGATCCGATAACGGTTCTGGAAAGTATCAGTGAGACGAATTCATGAACACTTATTTTGCATCCAAAACTGAGCCCGGTTTTTTTGTACTAGCATTTGTTTATATCGTTTTAATTTACTGACCAGTCTCAATTTTCGTGGTTGATAAAGCTTGACGAAATACTGCTTTAGTTCTGCTGTTTCTCTCTCTCTCTGCCCATCTCTTTAAGCACTTTTTTTTGTTCTGTGATAAATTGGAGCATTCACTGAGCCTCCGTATTGTAAAAGCAGAAACTGCATATGTGTATCTGTGCGATCTCTGACTCTTTTTCATCTTCTTAACACTTCATGGCTGTGTACTTCTGAGTTCACTGCGTGGCCTCATCGGAACTCTGTGTCTGCGGCTTCTACTTAACATGTACATATGTAGAGAGTCGTGCGTATAGAGTTGGCGCTGCGATGAATGCCTTTTATTTGTCTCTACGTAATTTTCATTTCTTACCTGACAACTTTTTCGCGTTCCTTCCTCATCATTTTGACTGATTTTTTTTTTTTTGTCGTACTTTTAACTGTATTTTGAAATACTGTGGTACTTCCTCGTTACTATTATTATAAAATTATTAAGTGTGATTGTTAAGTTGCATTTTTGTTGACGCCTTAGAGGTGCGCATATGTCAGGAAGACTTGGCAGATCTATTGTTTCTCTACAGGGAAACGAAGAAAAAGGTACCCACCACAGTAGTTTTAAAATTACCATTTAAACTATATCGGGATGAGCATATGCGCAGTTTTTTCGCATTTTGCATCGAAAAAGGCAGGTTTTGCCCTACTGAACTTACTGCCTCGTGGAGCAGCAAGCCGGTTATGGCTAAATCCCTCAATTATCATTTTTCTTTAATCATCTTTAGATTGCTGTATCCTTTCGTGATGCTCATCATCGTCACCATCATCACCCACCAAAACTTCCTTTCGGAACCTCCCTGTTTGGCTCATCACTTTTGATGAGAAAGTTGTTTATCTGCAAAGTGCGTAAGGTCTAGCCTGGGACTGCCGGCTTGTTGCCAGCGGCAGCATTATCAGACGCGTATGCTCAATTAGTGCACGTCAGCGGGAAGGCTGGATTTAAATTTGCAGAGCCGTGCGCGCGTAGAGGACACTACTCTAAAGTTTCAGCTGCGCAACTGTCGTTGTTCCTAGGACAACAATTTTCCCCGCCAAAACATCCACGTGGCCGCGCGTGTTATCTAGAGATATGTGAACGCCGAGTTCAAATTCGCAAGGTCGTACGTGGGTAAGGAATTACCCTAAAATTTCAGCTTCTTAGCTTTTGTGGTTTCCGAAAATGCACTCGAGCGCACACGCACAAACATACACAAATAGGCCTGTGACAATATGCATCGTGTGTAGCTGTTGCACAGCATAAAATGCATAAAAGTTAACAGTTGCATAAAGCTGGTTTTCACCTACAGAGGCCTAAAAAAGTTCATGCAAATTTTTTGTCGGGGAAGCGATTTCCAGACAACATAAGAAGCTGCAATCCACAAGGATCTTCCATGTCTTAAGAATTTCAGCTTTAAAGCTTGCCTATGTCATGAGCATGGACATTTCAAAGTTATTATTTCGTCATCGCTGGCAAGATGTTAAATCGGAGACTAAGCTGTTTAGGGCGGCATCTCTTTGAGAAAATATCGTTTTTAAGCGGCACGCAAGCATAAAGTAAGCTTTGACTCCAGTTGCTGTAGCGCATTTCGATGCGTCAGAGATATAGTGAAAAGCAATTTCGCTAACCAATTGAACTAAGAAGCTGGAATTTTACCAGGATATTTTATGCCCATGTGCGGCCGAAATATTTCAAATTCGGCTTCAGAGCAAATCTAGGTCTCGCGACACGCGCAAGTGAATGTGTAGTTTGGGACACTGTTGTTAGCCAATTAACTTGGTAAACAGCAAATTTATCATCAGTATGTTTGCTGTTCATGTGCGAGCGATTGAGCGTAAAATGAACTCTCTAGAAATGGGCTGTTTCTAGGATTCCATGTACACATTGCAACACCGCAATCACAGCTCGATTAGTACAATCCATCTCTCTATGAAAACGTATAATCGCACCACGGAGCCAATTACATTTTGAGATATGCAAGGAAACTGGAAACATCACTAATAAAAGTGCGCCCTGCAGTTGCGGTGTGGCGAAAGAGTAGTCTGAATTGAGTTCACCATCGCTAGGATGTGATGACGATCGCACTAAGCACAGCTGGCACCGGCACCGTGGTTCAAAGCCGCCACGTGCCGGCATCCAACCGCAATGCGGCCATCTTGTGCCCGGTGGCAATCATGACAGCTAACATATTTCTAGTACGGTACCATGGCATAGTCCGCCATCCCCCCGCTAGAGGGTACGCCCGGGAGGCCTTACCTCAGACCTTCCCAGGAGCCAATTCTGGACAATCACAATGTCCTTGCGTCGCTCCTTGCATCTGCTTCTCACCACACCACTGCATCCGGTTTTCTCCGTGTTTCATTGATATTGCACAGGCAGCGCGGCACACACTACGATAGCCTGTTCTGCCAGAGAAAGAGACTACACTCTCTCGCGTGTCAATGAAAGACGACCCTCATCTGGGCCTCAATTTTAAGGTATTGTCAGGCTGGGTACATTTGCCCCGGTAGCACAGCAAGTGCAACTAGAAAGTAGGACAGTCGGCCGTGCCGGTCTAGGCTTGAGGGTAAGTTTATCTCACTAAGCACAAGAGTGAATACTGCACTTCGACATATTCTGGTTAATTACTGAAACAAAAAGTCCCTGCAGGATTTGTTGCTTTTCTCAGAAAAAAGTGTATTTGTAGCCCCAGTACGGCTGAGTGCAGGGTAAAGAAGGGAGAACTCGCCTTCGTATGCAAGCGCTGCCAATCGCCTTTTTATTCAGTGCCGCCTAAAGCAGAAGTACGATGATGCAGAATATGATGGCTAATGATGAAAAGCACTTGTTGTTCAGAACTGCACACAAAATTTTCTTTGAACAGTGTCCTGGGCATTTCTCCAATTGCTGTGTCACTTCTCAAATTCGGGTTATTAAATCTTAAACTAAAAAAAAAACAAATTACGTGCAAACGAACCCAGTGTCGCTTGACCATTAACGTACTTAAAAATTAATATCTCCAAAAATTAACAAATTCATTATACATGCAACAAAGTGAACCTAGTCCTAGAAACATACGTTCGCTCGACACATTGAAATCACAAAGCAGAAACTGAATAAATAAGAAAATATTTATTAAAAAACACTATAGCAAAGAAATGTTACTCATAACATTCAATGCTTTATATGTGAAAGTGATGACCAAAATTCTGCGTAACTTAAATTCTCGCCCAACAGAAAATACTTGATTCTTAGAGCAAACAAAGAAAATCTTTAAAATTTTTATAAAAAGTGCGCTATGGCATGAAATTAATTTTAGATTTACAGTTAAACAACGTCATTTTTCCTAGGAAGTGGATTTTGGTTTATAACCTAAGCTGGGGTGCATCAGGAGAGCCGGTGCGATCATGCATCTTTGCACTATTTCGTATTGTATCAAGATCGCAAGAAATCACAATAGCTAGAATTTGTGACATACTGGCCCTCGAAGTTCGGGAAGTTAATAAATGCTATGTGGTGTGTCAGTTGTAGATGTCGGCTTCAGTGACCCGACAAACGGAAAGTTGCTGATGTACGAAAAAGACCTCGCTAGGTGAGTTGAACTTGAAATCTTTCAGTCGAACATGAGTAGGGGACATCCCCTTAAAACTCCAGCTTTTCTCAATCCGGCCAAAACTTCCATGCGTCCCTACGTGAGACCTAGGCATGCATGACAGTTGATATCGCGTCCCTGGAGTCACACTCGGCTAGGGAACACACTGGCTTTGCTGCCTGTTGTAGCGCTCTAGCGCTGTATGGCAAAACGCATAACAATGTACTATACATCATTTTACAGCACTATGATCCAGATAACTATTTTAAACCCACTGCTCATAATCACATAAGTCATTTATAACCAAATTTTTGCGCTCCTTCAGGTGTCTCCAAAAGTGCTAGTACCGACGGTAAGGAAATATACGCTGGCACAAGGTACTGAGTCACCTTGTCAAAGTTGGACGTCGTGCCTGGCACTGCTGAGTGGGTTATTTCGAGCAAGGAGCGCCGTCACGTCAGCATAAGTTAAGTGTTTCGAGTCGGCGCTGCGCGCCTTCACGTCAGTCACACTGTTGCTTGGGAATACAGCTCATCGTCAGGCTGTATCCATGGAAACAAAAACGTTCCAGTCGGTTGCAAAGTTACCACACACAGCTACGGGCAGAGGTAACACAAAAAAAGTCCACTTTGACGCCCCCATCCCCAACAGGTTTTCAAGGAGTTCAAAAAACTGCCTGGGCATGATCACATTTTGTTTCAAGCATCTGTTTAACATGCTATTTTTCGGACACAGAAGGTTGATACTGTGACACGATCAGAGAAAACGATTGCAGTAAAACGTGAAAAAAGGCGCATCAATACAAATATGCGACAGCAGAGAGTATCACTCACTAGAAATTT